CTGTTTAATACAAGAAGTACATGTATTGTGTAAGGGACGGAGAGCTGTTTAATACAAGAAGTACATGTATTGTGTAAGGGACGGAGAGCTGTTTAATACAAGAAGTACACGTATTGTGTAAGGGACGGAGAGCTGTTTAATACAAGAAGTACACGTATTGTGTAAGGGACGGAGAGCTGTTTAATAAGTTATCCTTGTATTCTGTACGCTTTGTCCATTTCCAGCATCAGTACTAGCTGTGTCTAACGGAAATCGAGTTTATAAATGATAGAACACCAGAGATTTCACGTGGAAAGCCTTTGTTTCTTTCTGTATTTTAGTCTTGAAACATATTTTTTTTTCTCTATAGGAACGATACCTGAACAAAGGTGAGAAAACAGCATATTTTGTGCTAATATAGAAATCAATAAGTGTTTCCAATCGAGAAATAAGAGCATATTACACATTGAACGTAATTAACAACACACGACGTTAAAATCGAAGCGATTATGACCAGATTACGTCACGTGAATCGAGAAGTGAAAAACATTTTGTAATTTGTAGCACATCTTTAAAATTAGAAACATTTAAATTAGTCTCTATGTAGCTTTACATAACCAGGTGTAAACTGTTTTTTTTTCATTTTTGCCTACCCTAAAAATCGTTATCCATACGCTTATATTTAGTACTATAACAAATATTTGTTCCTCAATATGTTCGTGTATTTGATATTATTTTGTTTGTGTATATTACGTTTTTGATATTAAAAATTATTTGACATTAGGTTTTTGACTTTTTAATAAACATTGTTGTAATAGTAATGACAAAACATTTTGTTTCTTGAACTTCAAATTCCATGGTTACTGTAATCAAAGTTCACTGACAGGCCTAACTTCATAAATAAACTACGTCTATCAAAAATTACATTTAAACTCAACTCGGTACTGAACTATTTAAGTACTTAGCTTGCTGAGAAAATCATGCAGTGATTACTCATTAACTGAGTAACAGAGTGAATAACTAACTCTAAGAAACTCAATGACTCAATAATTCATTCTAGTCTAACTAGCTTTTTATATATGGTCGAAATGTTTCTTTTGAAGAAAGCTTTAGACAATGTAAGGCCACACTTTTTACATTACGTCTAGCTTTCATTTGTTAAATTACAATGTATTTTTTGGTTTTTAGTACTGTAATAAATGTTCGTTTACACACTGTACTTGCATTTTGCTTTTAGAACTGTAATATATATTTATTAACACATTAGGTTCTCGGTACTGTAATAAATAATTACTTGTACATTGTGTGTTTGTTACTGCAGTAAATACTTACATGTTGCATTATTAGTATCGTAATAAATAATTATTTACAATAAGTGTTTTTGTATTAAAACAAATACTTATGTATACGTTTAATGTTTGACAGCATTTCATCAGTGCTTATCCATTAAAGTCTGCATGATTTTATATTTTCATCAGAAGTTTTAGCAGAAGTTATTCCAGCTTACAATATGACTTTTAAAATAATACCAAATGTCTAAATGTTGTTTGTTTTATTTGGATTTTGATAGCATTTCATTCGAGCTTAAGCATTTTTCTTGAGCACGTATATTTTAATGAGAAACATTATTTTGAGCATATGTATTTAATGAAAAATATAATTTTGAGAACATGTATTTAATGAGAAACATTATTTTGAGCACGTATATTTTAATGAGAAACATTATTTTGAGCACGTATATTTTAATGAGAAACATTATTTTGAGCACGTATATTTTAATGAGAATCATTATTTTGAGCACGTATATTTTAATGACAAACATTAATTTGAGCACGTATATTTCAACGAGAAACATTATTTTGAGCACGTATATTTTAATGAGAAACATTATTTTGAGCACGTATATTATTTCGGGTTATTTTTTTCTAAGTCATACCTGGGATCAAGTCCGGACACCTCTCATCATCCAGCATGGATAGTGGGGTATAACCCTCTCCACTTGTTTTTAAATTTATACTTTCTTCCCTGCAAATGTAAAAAGGATAAATTACGTTCTTACAGATTCTAATTTTTATATAGTGAAAAGCTACTTTTAATAAAGGAGAGCCAGAAAAGTAATAAATTCAAATTATTTTGATGTGAAAAGTTGAATATTTGTAAATCGCTATATAAAACCTCAGTATCAAGGTGTTGTCAGAAACAAAAAGTGAAATCAATATACGGTGATTCAAAAGTTGCTGATTAAAAATAAGATTTGATTCTTGAAAATTTTAGTGGAATTAAAAGTCCACACATTGTTCTAACGTTTCTCTGAGCTATAACATCAGAAAGCGTTGATTGATCAGGAATGTCGTTGCTGCTGTTGTATTAAGTGCAAAGATGCACAGTGGACTTTTTTTGCGCTCTGTTCACCGGTGATAATCGAACCCCCGTAAACTTATCGCTGATTCTACATGCAGAATTAATCAGAAACTTAAGTTAATATTCGTTTTAGAAATGACCCGATTTGTTTGGAGAATTATATAAGGCAAATTAAAACGTCATTAAGCTAAAGAACGGACCCAAAAGGTTCTATAAAGTTACTTGTAATCTTCTCTCTCATACCAAAAGTGTTCACTTAGATTTATAAAGAAGTTGACTCTAATATTGCTGTGATAATCAACCCTGCTGTTGGTGAAGCGAATTATAACTGTGATAATCAACCCTGCTGTTGGTGAGGTGAATTATAACTGTGATAATCAACCCTGCTGTTGGTGAGGCGAATTATAACTGTGATAATCAACCCTGCTGTTGGTGAAGCTCACCAACAGCAGGGTTGATTATCACAGTTATAATTCGGCGAATTATAACTGTGATAATCAACCCTGCTGTTGGTGAGGCGAATTATAACTGTGATAATCAACCCTGCTGTTGGTGAGGCGAATTATAACTGTGATAATCAACCCTACTGTTGGTGAGGT